ACGGAGTTTGAGAAGGGCAGCCACAGCAGAAAGCAGAAATACAGATTAGATGGAAGACCACCAGCGACTGGACAAGCACTCTTTTGACAGTAGCACGGAGAGTGGGAGAGAGCCTCTGTTGTCTCAAACAGCCCCAGGTGGGGCTATACGACACTATACAGGTGCCAAGTATTATTGGTAGGAGTAACATGAACTGTCACCTGATTGGGAGTAAAGGAGAAGTGTAACCACTGCTTCTGTAGAGTTCTCCTTTTGGGGCCCAGAGGAGATGGTAGCAGTAAAAAAAACCCAAGACATTCCACATCCCATTTGCAGCAGCCAATGACTACATGCACATCCCACCAGGCATTTCATATGGAATATCTGCAATTCACTTTCCCTCACTGGCACCTGAGGAGGGACTGATAATTACAGTGTGCCGCACTGCAATTTGCCAAATTTGGGGGGGTTTTGGAAAAAAAAAAATCAAGCCAAAAAATAGGTGGGTGGGGTGAGGTGGAAGGTTTGACCAGCTATTGAGTTGGTCAGAATTTTTTGATTTTCAAATAAATAAATAAATTCGAAACAATAACAAAACTTAAAAACATTTCATGACACACCCTCCCCCAGCCAATCATTTCTAATTGTCAATTATTTCTGTTTGAGTAAAGCCTAGAGCCCCCAGTCAAGACTGGGAGTCCATTGTGCAATGCACTGCGCAAGCACAGAAAAAGAAACAATCCTTGCTCCAAAGAGTTTATAATCCAAACAGAAAGGACAAAGGTGGGAAGGGAAGGAGAGGCACAGAAAGGTGAAGTAATTTGCCTATAGTCACAGAAGGTCAGTGGCATTGCCAAGAACAAAATCCAGGTCACCTGAGCTCCCAACCCAGTGCCTTTAAATTGCCACAGTACTGGTGTCCCCGTTCATGTACATTTTGCTTATTTCAGGAGCAGGGTATGAGCCATTAAAGCTTTCCATAAATATTTAATGTTAAAGGAGTTTGTTAAAACAAAGTATAATTTGGATGAAGCTGTTGTGTCCCCCATACTATCCTTCTGGGCAGAGGGGAAGGTTCTCAGAGAGCTGAAATCAGCAGACTTGCAGCTCTCTGACTTGGTGAAGATAACGTAGCTGTATGTCAGCAGTGCCTGACAGCTTCCAGAGCCAATACCTCTGACAGATGGGCAGGACCATTTTAGACCTGGACTAGGAGAAGTGACAATGGAACCAAGGCGCCTAAGAGACTTAGACATGTTTTGAAAATGTTACCTGGTATGACTTCAGCCAGTGAGGGAAGAACATTTGCTAGAGTTGTTTCACATGGTTCAGTCATGCCAGTATTAGGGGTGTTTGTGGAACGCAGGAGAATGTTTCTATGTGTTCATAGGGTCTCATAATTATTCAAAACACCTACATTTTCTTGTTTAGATGGACCAACAGATACAGAGGTTAAGTGACGTGCTCAAGGGCACACAGCAAGTCAGTGCAGAACCAAGGTCTAATAACAGAACCCTGCCATCCTGACCCCAAGCCTCCTGCTCTGACTAGTAGAAAATATTTCCTTTAAAAAAATTTACAATTCTAAATATTGAAAATACAACCTAGTACTAGCATAACTCTTTCAATGGCTTACACTAATTGCCCTCATTTTTTCTCCTTATTACTACTACACATTTGTTCCCCATTTCAGAATGCTTGTGATTTTTTCCATAGATTCCTAACTCAAGACAATTTGCTTTTAAAATCCTGACTGTAATTAATCAATACAAATCACTAGCTAAAATCTAGCCAACCTAAACAAAGAGCATGAAATATTTGCTTTACTACAATATCAACATATTAATAAGCAGACAATCTGGTGTAAGCTTTTGGGATTTTTCCTCTTTTTAGGCAAATTGTCAGGGAAAATTAAGTTAAAAAAACTGCAAGCTAGACAAACCAATATACCTCCAGCTATGAAACTCTTACCTTTGAATTACATTCAACCATAGCATTTAAAGGTATTGATTGTACCTAAATTCCCTCCTACACGAAAACGATTAAGAGAAGTTGGAGCGCTGAGAAAAATACTAGTTCCTCAAGAAAATGAAAGACAGCATGAATGGCAAGATCCTGACACCTTCACCCAAGCAGTCATTCACACTAGTAATCCCGTGTTAATGAAACCCTCTGATAAAAAAGGTTTGCAAGTTTGGATTCAAAACGAACCTCTAAGGACAGGTCTACATGGCAATTAGACACAGGGGGCTGGGCTGTGCCAGCTGACTTGGGCTTGTGGGGCTCAGGCTCGAGGGCTCTTTAATTGCAGTGTAGCCCTTTGGGCTGGGGCCGAACTCAGGGACCCTCCCAACTTGCAGGGTCCTAGAACCTGGGCTCAAGCCCCAACCTCGACACTGCAATTAAACATCCTCTTAGCCCAAGCCCTAAAAGCCCAAGTCAGCTGGCACGGCCCCAGCCTCGGGTTTTTAGTTGCAGCGTGGACATCCTGTGAGCCCCATACTTACTCCTGAGCGCTGATATGAATACAACAGAATATCATGCTTCCCGCCCCATTTATTTTATATGTAAGGTGCGTTGGGGGGGGGGGGGGGAAGCAGGGAGAGCGTTGTATGAAATCCTGCTCCTTCATTAGGATCTATTATCGTAATTTATCTGTGGGATGCGGTCACGCAATTCCCATTACAGCTGATGTGACCTATGCACAGAGGGGGAAAAACAGACATGGGAGCATGCAAGTGATGCCACACCGGGCAATTCTAACTCTCAGGGGATGACATTTCTGATGGCTATTGGTAGATGCCCTTGGCTCTTCATCAAGGCTCCCATCATTATTAACACATTGCTTGATCTCTTTAACATGCTCAATCATTGCCCAGATTTTAACTAATGCCAGGTCTACCATGGGAAGAGCTGGGGGGTGTGGGGTAAACGTGGTACTTGGATCAGCCAATGTGGTGAAGGACCAGACTCCTGTGATACCAAAACCCCTTGGAAAAGGGTCCCCTGTTCTTTACAAACAACTTTCACCTCAGACCTGACAAACTCACGACAGCAGACACACGTCTTTCAGATATTTATCCATAAAGGGTAATATGTAAGGTATCTACAGAAAGCTCATAACTTGTCAAGATTCATAATCATTGTGAGATGTCTGTATGAATAATATTTAAGGAATAGGTTTCAGAGGAACAGCCGTGTTAGTCTGTATTCGCAAAAAGAAAAGGAGTACTTGTGGCACCTTAGAGACTAACCAATTTATTTGAGCATGAGCTTTCGTGAGCTACAGCTCACTTCATCAAGGTCTGATGAAGTGAGCTGTAGCTCACGAAAGCTCATGCTCAAATAAATTGGTTAGTCTCTAAGGTGCCACAAGTACTCCTTTTCTTTTTATTTAAGGAATAATGTCTTTCAATATAAAGTGTGCTTTATGGACTTTGAAGTAACTGCAAACAATCAAAACCACTTGAAGGTAAAAAAGGAACTTTGCAAGACAGGGGTTCACCTTCTGTTCATGGGAACATAAGGCTGTTTTCAGTATAACACAGAGGGGGGAGAAGGCCACTGAATCCTTTCACTGAAGAGCCATCTTGAGGAGCAAGGTGTTCTCATAAAAAATTGTATCCTAGTTCTTGAGAAACCAGCCAGCTCTGTAACAGAATGAACTTGATGGGGAAAACCTACTTTATTAGATAGGAAAGGTAACTATTAATAAAGTATAGATGCAGGTTCGCCTTTTGATTTTGTTTTGTATTGTAAACATTTGTTTCCATCACTCTCTCCTGTTTCTAGTTAAATCTTTATTGTTTCTTAAATAAACTGACTTTTGTTTTATAAATAAGTGCTCACAGGCACTGTGTGGTTCACAGGAGCGGTGGTCTAAAGTAAAACCAGTAAACTAGGGTATGCTGCACCTCGGGGAGCAGAGGATCTGGGATCTCTGTGAGTAGCCAGTATCAAGGGCTAGACAGCACAAGGGAACGATTCAAAGGCACTTGGGGATGGGGGTGCTCCTATTCTTAACCTGCAAGGCGAAGGTAGGGCTGGCATAGCCCAGAGGAGAGTACGTGAGCAGCTGAAAGGCTGGTGGTGTCAGGGATCTGACATCCAGTCAGACACAGGCAAGACTCCCTCATGCTTGGGAGATGGGGTAACAAGGTGACCCACAGTCCTGGCTGCCCCAAGAACTGTCACAGTCCCCATTTTATTTGGAGGTCATGGAGTTAATTGGTAGGATAGCCTGGAATAGAATTCAAGTCACCTAATTCCCCATCCTGTGCTATTATTCAGGTTGAACATCACTGCTTCCCTCCTTTAGGGCTTACCTCTGCCTAGTGCTGAGTACCACCTGCAAGGTGCCATGTGCTCTCAACATCCATTGACTTCCAGAGCAGCAGTCAGGTCACACAGGCATTGTTCAGTACCTTGCAGAGCCAGGCACCACATTAGTATCTGAGCCAATCCACTCTCTCTCTATCTTGCTGGCACTCGTATCACAATTCACATTACTACTGCTTGGCACTTAAAATAGCACTTCATATTTTCAAAGCTCTGTACAAGCATTAACTTGAAACTAGCCCCATGTATGTACTAATATCAAACTCAGGACCAGCCCTCACCCAGCACAGTTAGTAACAACATAGAGTTTCCTCTGCAATCCAGAGGAATAGATATTTAGCAGAAATAGAAGTCCTAGACAGACTTTGCATAAAGATAGGTCTGATCAGTGGCAGAGAAGATTAGAGAGTTCCCGCCATGTGTCAATAATTACAAAAGAACAAAAGGCATCTGAAGTAAACATTGCTTCCAGGAAATTGGCAAGTACCAAGTGTGGTGTCCCTGAACTCTCAAAATCCGCAAAATTTTCTTTTCCTTTTTATACTAGAGCTGAGCAGCCAGAGACAAAACATAGCATCCACACTCTCCTGTGTGCAAGTGAGCTACTTAGAAGGGGAATCAAAATGGATGTGGAAACATAACCCAGGCACTTTTGTAACTTCTTCAAAAAGAGAAAGTTTTACCTTTGCACTGTTCAGCATTTAGGAATAAACTGTGTGTCTGGTTTGAGTCACTGGTCGGACACTGCTGACAAGACGTGTAATTTGACGACAAATGGATCTTGTAGAGCAAATCGCTCGCACTCCCTCTGCAAAAAAAAAAAATTAAGAGGAAAAGCAGATTTTTCACACAAAGTAAAAAAATGAGCCTTTGCTTGAGAAAAGTGACAGAAAAAGCTAGAGTTGTTCTCTCAAAAGAGAGAGATCTGTTTGGAAGTAGATTACACGTCATCTTCTTATGCAGATAATCTATGTTTTCATTGAGCAACTCATTTGTGCTGCAAGCACTTTTGCATGAATTGAAAGAAACTTTGATTTATCCAACTTGCCAGGTTTTGTTTAGCAAAAACAAAGCCATATCTTGCCTGTGAAGATGACAGTCACTATGACAGGGAAAGGCCAGTATTTTAGCTGAATATACAAAGCCCTTGCTGTCTGTCTTTCTCTCCTCCCTTTCCCCCCCTCCCAAAATCATCAACCCAGCTTCAGAATGATCTCACGTAGCATTGGTTGCAGCAGCCACTCCCAGCGCTGCACTCTGACCTGCTGTAAAGTTCTTTACTAGCTATGAATTACTTAGTAGATTCCTTACTGAGACTGTGTCTGCACACACACGTGTGTGTGCACACATCTGTATTTCCACTTTACACAAGACTTGCAAAATAAAAAAATCACTGAGTGATGTGGCAAAGGCTGCTTTTAAATTAACTCTCCCCCCGAAAAGCTTACAGAAAATAATTTAAACTCAACAGTCCTTAGAAATCATCTGTATGAGTTAGTGCATGTTTGTTAATTCAGAACTTCTTCTACACAGTCTAATATTTAATGTTGATTTCATATACAGAGGCCTCCATTAAAATCTGTACAGTTTTACTTTTCACAAGATTGACGCTGCCAGAGTATTTCCTGTACTTGGTATAAGGAATACCACTGCAATGTTAATTCCCTGCAAACAGCAACTGCACAGCTTTTAATGGGGAGCACTGTCAGTCATACAAGGTTTTAACCAATTCATGCATACCCAGGTCACTTATATATCAATTATGTAGAAAACCCTTTTTATGCACCAAGCCAGACTAAATTAGATCCATTCAACATTGAGGTTAATAATTACTAGTTATGGGGGAGAAAAAGAAGCGGAGAACTGGACTAAAGGTCACAAAATGATGTTGCACCTGGCTAGTGTGGTGACACAGAAATCATATAGTTTCCCCTAAAACTAGAAATAGTCCACAAAGCCCTGACTGACAATGCTATATGCTCGTAACGTTGTTTCAGACTATTGAAATCAAGACAGAGGATGTAGCGTCTAATGCCTTCCAGTTGAACAGAGGGGGCTGGGGGGACTTTTAATTAATTGAAGCCCGGATTCTCCATCTATGGTCTGAAGGCCACTCTCTCATGAACCACAACTGACTGAGAACACTGAGAACTGACGGAGAAGAAGGAGGTTGGTAATTAGGAGGGGAAATAGGCCAGAGAGGTTGCTCTCTGATGAACTGATCCACAGAATGACAGGTTTCAGAGTAGCAGCCGTGTTAGTCTGTATCCGCAAAAAGAAAAGGAGTACTTGTGGCACCTTAGAGACTAACCAATTTATTTGCGCATAAGATTTCGTGAGCTACAGCTTACTTCATCAAAAGCTTATGCTCAAATAAATTCATTAGTCTCTAAGGTGTCACAAGTACTCCTTTTCTTGATCCACAGAAGAGGAGGATGACGACAATTTCCCTTTCCTATTACCTAGAACATTCACAAATATTTTAGCTGTGTGATGAAAAAACCAAGCAGGAGGCGGGACCAGGAGAGTCAATGGTTTGGGAGTACTTTAAAGAAGAAATAGGCCTACACCCATTGCTAGAACTCTACTGCTCCCTAAACTTTGGATGTTCCTACATGGAGGTATTTCAGAATTTGAGTTTTGCATCTTTGCCCTCTCTCCCAAAGGCAAAACCCAAATCCTGCCACTCCTGAATTCTGGGTGACAGAACAAAAAAAAGCATCCTCTACTGAGTCAAGCACATATCTCTTTTAAAAGCCTTTACAAAATGCAAACATCCATAAAATCAGGAGATGCAAAACAACTAACATTGATCTTAATCTCCACTGGAGGTCAGAGGAAACACCCTCAGTTTTAATTTACAACAAGTGAAGCATCCAGAATGTTACACCACCAGAGCTCCTCATTTTAAATCGGCCATGCTATTGCTGTTTGCATTAGAATTGAAAGAAAAAGGCATTGAGACATATCGGAATGAGCATGGGGTGGAAGCTAGAAGTTCCCTATCTCAAAGGCCTGTTTCTTCAGTAGACGTAACCAAGTCAATCAACCTCTCTGCCTCAGTCTTCCCCTATATAAAATGGGAGTGATAATCTTTACCACATCGGGACTTTGGGAGGAATAATTAACAAACATCTGCAAAGTACTTTTAAAAAATGTCAAGCACTGCATAAATGCTAAGTATTTCACATTATAATTATTTAAAATGCTAAATGGTTTAATTTTAATAGGGGAGAACGTACAACTACAAAGAAATTTGAAATTTCTTTTTTTCCACTTGCACAACGGTCAAAGAAAATCCTAGCCAGAGTCAACTCTCTTACTGCTCTACCAACCAGGATGGAGGAGATGACACACGCGCATGTGCGGTGAGAGGTGGTGGCAAGGGGAGGGGGGAATGAGGAGAAGGAACGTTGCTTTCCAAGGACCAGATTGGTTTACCACACTAAGCTGAGTCCTGGACCGCACAGCTGCAAGTTATAAATGTCCAGGGAGGCAAACATGAGTGGCATCCCTTCCAGCCTGCCAAAATTCCAAGCAATTAGAACAGCTAGCACTTTCAGCTCTTTTGCAGGTTGCCTAGATGGAGCCTCAAGAGCAGGGAAGAATGGAGGGAGGGAGCGTTGTTTTAAGAAAATATGTTAAATCAATTTTATTTTTTATTTCCACTGCTGAATATTACTTGGCTCTCTCCACAGCCTTTATGCATGTTTGCCTTACTCAGTAATGCATTTGCCAGAAATCAATATCCTCTTATCCTCACTAACTAGTAGCCAGTGTCATCACCTTTGCAGCTGCCCAGTGCAGTCGGAACAGGAGAACTGGTTTCTTACTTGTCTTATTTCAGACAACTCATAATATTCAACTTAGACACCAGAGATAAATACTCCTATTGCAGCTGGTTGCCAAGAGCTTTTAAATCAAATTCTGTGTCTTTCAAATGCACTTTTCCACTGAGTAAATATGGAGGGGCCATTCCAGGACCTCATTTTAAAAAAATAGCTCATGACCAGAATATGGCGAATTTTAAATTGACCCACCAGGATGGCAAGAGAAGGGTTCTTACCCTTAGGAGATGTGGGAGGAAGGAAGGGACAAAGCAAGATATTTCAAGTGTTCCCATAGAGTACAAATGATAGGAACAACAATTATTATTTGTACAGTAGCAATGCCTAGAGGCCCTGATTGTGCTATGCACTATATATACTTGTAACACTGGGCAGTCCCTAGAGATAACAGCTCACAATCTGAATGGACAAGAGAAATGGTGAAAGGGGAAATGGAGGCACAAAAAGGTGAAATGGTCCCAAGGTCAGTGATAAAGCCATCAATCAAACCTAGTTGTCCCATGTCCCAATCCCATGTCCTAATCACCAAACCATCCCACTCCCTCAGTCATTCATGGTCCCTCAGCTCCAGCATTTCTGACCCCTAATGCAAAAATCAGAGAAAGTCATAGAAATGGGGGTTACAAATTTTATAAAAGCCAATAACTTTTTTCCTCGGCTACAAATCTTCCCAACACATGATCAAATGCTTTCTAGATCAAATTTGTAATAGAATGGTATATCCCCTTTGTATTTTAATCTTGCCTATGCTCTGCATCTTCTGTCTTGTAAAAAAGTGTTAATAACAAGCTATCATTCTAATTCTCTGCAACTCCATGCGCTGGGTATGTCTACGCTAAGGAAGCATAGCTCCATCGTGTAGTAAAGACACAGCCATCAGTATAGGAGCACCACCTTCCCAAGTGACAGCAGCTAGGTCAGTGGAAGCATTCTTCCAGTGACCTAGCTGTGTCTACACTGGGGGTTACGTTGGCATAGCTACTTTACTCAGGGATGTGGATTTTTCACACCTGACTGAAACAGCTAAGTCAACCTTAATTTTCAGTGTAGACTAGACCTCTATTTAAAGTTTATCCTCCCAGAGCATTGAAGATGGAGTTATTCCAACACCCATCAGCTGGGTAGCATCTCAAAGCAATTCCAGACCATTGGGACAACAGTCTGACTCAAGGTAAGTTTGGGAGACTTTACCACAGAGCAGTTCAACCCTGGGTGCCTTTTTGAGTGCCTTCAGGCTCCACCATTTGACAATCACTGCATGGAAATGGTATCTATGTGCCAAGGAGAAAAATTGGGGCGCTACCTCAGACACGGCCGCCAGTCCTCTTTTGGAAAGGATAATGCAAAAATACCGCTGTCTGAAAAGCATATGGGATTCTACAATGGAAAATAACAACCTTTAACGATCAGGCAGAAAAAAAATCCCAAAATTCCAGACAACCTAATATCTTGCCTCCGGGAAGCATGTGCCACACATCTTGGTATATGCCCCTTGGATTAGTCCAATCAGTGATAGAAAGCCTGTATTGTTAAAAAGTGGGAAGTGAGGGCTATTTCCTCATCAGCACCACTAGATAAACAAATTCTCACCCGAAACACCAATGACCCAGACACATAAACACTGCCCAATTTAGGGCCAAAATAGCAAGTAGCCAGGAGGCTGAGAGGGAGCTAGTGGATATTTGGGGGGAGGTTGCATAAAACCCAACTCACTTAACACACAGTTGTGTGAAGACTGCATGAGTGCCAGCATGCAATGCTTGATATTGCCACACACTGCATTATAGAACTGTGTTTGACCCAAACACAGTACAGTACAGGCTGCATGGAACCCACACCCATTCAGGATGGTGCTCTGTCTCCCTTTAGTCGTGGCTGGGCCACATATACAAGTTGATGACCCTGCTGCAGCCTTGGTGAAAGGAGCCCTGTCTTTTAACTCAAGCCACAGAGACTCATGCTTTCAGATCCTAAAGGTCCTAGTTTTGATTCCTGCTGCTGACATCACTCGGGGTGCAGCTAATTGGCCACCCCAATAGAACATAAAACCCTCAAGACATTATAAGCTAGTCTGTTTATACACTTGCCTCCTTACACTCATCTCTTGGAATTGAACTAATCAGTTGTAACCTTTATATCAGTATTTCATCATACAGATGCTGGAAAGGAAACGTCAGAATGCTGCTGTTGGAAATGCCCCCTACATTTTCCTCCCAAAAGGATTTAGTATTGCAGTCTAATACTTCCTTCTAAATGGGCAAGTGCCAATTTCGACTGTGCTAAGACGAGTACATTTTATATTTGTAATGCTTGGTTGGTAAAAAGAAAAACAATAGGCTTCTTCATGAAACACCAAGGTTGGTAGTACAAAATAGTGAAGCAAGAAGTTGCTTATACCAAAGCTGGATCCGTCATTCTGGTTTTATATTACACCTCTTCAAAACCGTAAAGCTGCCTCTACGGGGAGAGATCCATCATTCAAACAATAGCTTGAAATAAACCACAATCTGATGACTGTCACAGCCCCTTTGACACCACTGCCTACCATCTCCCAGCGTTTATACGCTAATCAGTTTAGTCTTCCCACTTGGATGCGTGTGAGGCAGCTGTTTCTAATGGCTTGTATTTTCTTAAAGCCTCATAGAGCAGACAGCCAGGGCTCTACAATTTCCTATGCTCTCTCGGCACAGACTGCCCCAAAGGAGGAACAAAACAACAAGAAAGAGGGCATGGAAAAAAACCCATTCATTTTCATGCTTCCTGAATCATGGAAAATCTCAGCTCATTTCTAGTTAATGCTCAATTGTTCTTTTCCAGCGTATTAAATAAAAGCCTTTCTACAAATTTGACAGTTATCTATTACTAAAGTTAAAATTCAATTGCAGGTCTCTTCACAAACAGCAAAGAGTTTTCTTTTCTTTTTTAATTAATATATTCAATTTTTAAAAGATCTTGCCAGCAGCTGAAGTTGATGCACTTGAAGTATATGTGTCACTCTTATTTGTAACTTTGTTTTATAAATAAATTATATAAATAGGCTTCTTTGATTGCTCAGAGCATCCAGCATTAAGTACTGGGGCATAGCTTTAGGCATAATTGTACTACTGAATTCATCAGCTGCCTAATTATCATTCATTTTGCATCTATTTCTGCTAATTAAAAAGAGAAAAACTCTTAACAACTTTTACATAAATACGGTATTTGTTCTCCGTAAAGACATGAGGTTAATTTACCAGTGATTAACAGATTATCTAATTTTATAGCTGTCATTCTGCAGAGGCCAGTACCCCACAGCCCTGGCAAAAGGAAGCAAAAAAGGAAAACTGAAGTTCTCTCTCTTGCTATAACCCCCCATTATATCCTACCTAATCTTAAAAAGAAAAGGAGTACTTGTGGCACCTTAGAGACTAACAAATTTATTTGAGCATAAGCTTTCATGAGCTACAGCTCACTTCATCGGATGCACACGAAAGCTTATGCTCAAATAAATTTGTTCATCTCTAAGGTGCCACAAGTACTCCTTTTCTTTTTGCGGATACAGACTAACATGGCTGCTACTCTGATACCTAATCTTAGTCACGCTCATTTGCTGCATCATTTCCAACTTTGGATTGTAAGTGGACCATCACCAGGGACTGACCCCAGAGGCTGTCCCAGAGCTAACAGCATGAATCTCCACACCCTGAGCAAAAGACGATTCACATTGAATTCAATGGCTCTTGGATCAAGCCCTAAGGGTCTACATAGCAATTAAACAACCACAGCTGGTCCAGACCATCTGATTCAGGCTCAGGCTGTGGGGTTGTAAAATTGCTGTGCAGATGTTGAGATTTCATGAGCTCTGGGACCCCACAAGAGGGGAGCGTCTCAGAGCCCACGCTCCAGCCCGAGCCTGAACATCTACACAGCAATTGTAGCAATCCTACACTCTGAACCTCAGTTAGATGACCTGGGCCAGCCGTGTCACACCATGTTCTTTAATTCCATTGTAGATGTACCCTAAGTGGCCTACCTGGGAGCTGTAGTAATCTCCTCCCCTGTGGATCAGTAAGAGAGCAGGACACAAACACACTGGGTTCTTTGGAGCAAGGTCTCGCTCTTTCTTTATGTATGTCTACATGGAAAAAGAGAGGGTGTTCTTGACTTGCATTAGCTAACGCATTTTAAAACACCAGTGAAGACATATCACTGCCCGATAGGGCAGCCTGGGCTTGCTTGAATTGGAATTGCTAACTCGAGCTTAAAGACAAGCTGCTGTATCTTCACTGATATTTTAATCCAAGTTATTTAACGTGGATTAAGATAACCTGAGTTAAATTTCCAATTTCAGGAAATCATGGAGAGGGTCAGACAATAATTATTTAATAACAGTAAACACATTCAAAAAGTTAAAGCTTTATAACTGTTAAACACAAATTGTCAACATCACATGTCAGAAGATATAAAATAAATATCCTTCAAACCAAAAACTCTAATACATTCTCAAGAAGCGTTTTTCTTGGTTTGCCTCTCTGTAAATTGTGATGATGTTCATCAATAGAAATATCTTTTTCATTGGTTTGTGTGAAATCGACATTGGCCAACATTTACGGTTAAATGTCTACTTCTTCCAAGCCTGTATATAGATAACAAAGAGTAGCAGCATTCCCATTTTCCCCAGGGGCTGTCCATGATCCTACCTAGCCACTCCAGGCAATGGGAGCTCCAGCCAACCTCACTGGTCTTGGATGGGGACCCAGCAGCACCTTTCCCTGCTGTTCAGTAATCCTCTCCCCACCTCCTCTGATTACTACCCTAGGGCTTGTCTACACTTGCAATTTACAGCACTGCAACTTTCTCACTCAGGGGAGTGAAAAAACTCCCCCCTGAGCGCAGCAAGTTTCAGAGCTGTAAAGTGCCCGTGTACACAGTGCCCCAGCGCTGGGAGCTATGCCCCTCATGGAAGTACCCCAGCGCTGTGCCGTGACCACACAAGGCACGTTAGCATTGCCAGTGTAGACTAGCCCTTAGCTGCAGCAGCAAGAGCTCCAACCTTGCCTGCCTTCCTGAGGGCTGCCTCGCAGCTGTGCTCAATGGGATGCTCTGACTGAAGCTGAGAAGCAGCTGCTAGCACTTATTTTAGGCTGAGAAGGCTGCAAAGCCTGCACTTCATGCTGGCATAGAGGTCTGTCCCAGTTTGAAAGAGGGGAGAGAGAAATGGAGCAAGAGCACAAAGTGGTCAACAGTGAGGGTGAATGACCGGGGTGAATAGCCAACGTAACAAGACAATTCTGCTACAAACAACCCAGAGATCTGGGGGCAGGTGGAAGACTATGTGCATTCAGGTGAATTTTAGTTCTCTCTTTCTTTCTGCCTTTTCCTATCACCATTCTAAGGAAAAAAATAACTTAAAACGCACTCAAGTGCACACAACCCCTTACAATGGTTGGTGGTGAAGACCACCATGCCTTCAACCCAGCACCTCAGCTACCTTGGCAGACTGTCCCTGTCAAAAGACAGCTGTAAGCATTTAAAGCCAATTCCTCCTCTGAGCGGAGAATGCACATAACCTGATGGAAGTGGAGGGAAAAAGGAGAGCTGTCTCAGGTACATACCAAACCCCTCTAGTCGGCATATGAGCTACCCAGACAAAGGGATCAATACCCAGCCAGCCTCCACCAAAATACAGGGCTTTAAGATGGGCTGAAGGGCATTTAAAGTAGGGAGCCATGCATCAGGATGAAATGAAAAGTGCAGTTAATCCAGGAGGGATGAAGTTAAATTCCAAAACTACAATTCATTGGTACACCCCCCAAAATAATGTTTAAGGGCCAGATCCTGAGCTGTGGTAAGTCAGTGTAGCTCCATTGACTTCAGCTTGCACTAGCTGACAATCTGGCCCTTATTCTTTAAAGACAGACAATGCCAACCAAAGTTCAGGCAAGAACAAACAAGGTTGATCCCACCAACTCAGGTTTTGTGGGCAAGCAGCATTTTAGCTCCCCATAAATCTTCTGTTGGTGCATTAATTATAAATATTACCACTCCAGAACTCCTCCCCTCCCTGCAGGTAGTAGCTGGGTAGCCAAGTTGCTCAGTTCAAGAAACATGAGTAGAAGTTTTAATTAAGATTAGACACTACTACCTAGGGTTAGTCACTCTGTACATCAGAAAAAAGGGGAGGGAGCGTAGACTTCATATATTGACTTCTGAAGGATTCGAGTGGGGATAGATAGTATTTAATTTTTTTTATCTGGACTGAAATTTAAAAAAAAAAATTCCATGAATACCCATTAGAAGAAAAAGAATCTCACCAGACCACAGAGATGAGTAGACTACTATACTATTAACAAACTGTACATGCAAGAGCTAACTGAGCATTCAGGAAGATGTAAAAGATTCATTTCACAACTAGCAGGACAGCCAGTCATGGGCTAGAAGTCACCAGCCATACATACAGAGTGTTAGATTGAATCATTTCATCCGTTAATAGGTAGCTAAACATTTGGGTTGGCTCTTTTTATTTGCCTAAAGTCTGAGCATCCTGTGAGTAGCTATACACAGGAATAAAATGGAAAATGTTGTCAGAGGAAAAATGAATACTCTTCACCAGTATCTGGAGTTCTACTGATTCAAAATAACCCACCCTATTAACTGTGGTGTGTTCATTGTTTGGGTTTGGTTTTAGGGTGGGTTATTTTTTATGTTTTTCTTGAAAAATTAAGAATAAGCTTAAAAATAACGAGATTAAAATGAATAAAAACTGGGTTACATTGTTTGATCTAAGCTAATCCCTTATATTATAAAACCAAACAAATGAATTGGCTAAGTATTTCTTTACCTCTGAATTTTATTGAAGGAGTTCATGGTATTAAAATGACAAACTAGATCATAGAGTTCAAAAGGCAACATATACTTTATATACAAATAAAATGTTATCTTCATCCCTATGGTGTACTAAGAGGGCTAGAATAAATTTAGATAAGATGTCTACCAATGGAAACGGGATTTGTGATTACAAAGCCAAATAATGCGACCCAGTTCTGCAGCGACTTACACACGCACAAGTAACTGTATGCACTGTGAGTAGTCCCATTAAAGTCAGTGGATCTAGTCATAGGGGCAGATCCTCAGCTAGTGTAAACTGTCCCAGCTCTACTCAAGTCAATGGAACTGTAACAACTGAAAACAGCTGAGGATCTGGCCTACAGTGCATAAATTTGAGCAAGATCAGAGCTAAGGGTATATATTTGGAACGGCGATTTGTTATCCCCATGTTTAACCCTACCACTGAAAACGAGCTCACTTTACTAGTCAATGAAAATACGAGCCAAATGAATGTACATAAGCCCATCAAAGCTAAAGAAAGTGGCCTCATAATTAGGAATTTGATTAAAATATGAAACAAAGTAGTCGGCTCTCTAAAAGAAGTCAGTTTTTTAGACAATATAAAATATAGAAATTATTTCAATGCACCTTCAAATGAACATTGTTAGCTGATAGAAAATAATACCTTGTCAGTTAGATATAATTAATACAGTACTAAAATTATTTCAAAAGCCAAAATTAGAAGAGTAATTAGAAGAGTTAAATTGCATTTCATCAATATTTACAGATGAGACAGCGCAAATATTTTGGACCAAATTTATTTACAAGTTTGGAGAACTCTGTATTCCACCATACAGAAAGCTTGTCCATAATTCTGATGATTAAAAAAGCTCTACAATATTTACCAAAACGTAAACTAGCAATGGCATCAACATCCATTTTATGGATGAAAGAGTAATGACTAAAACCTTAATTGAAGATATACTGCCTACAGTTCTCAGATCAATTAAATATCCTCTACAGACACTACTCTGGAATGATTAGTACACTTTCCTAGATTCTTTTTTCATATCTACAAATGTAAAGTGACATTGGACAATTTATTTTATATGCTGTGTTCTTGTGTTTCATTAAGAGAATTTTCACGTATGTTGTGAACATGCTATACACAGTTACTCAAGTGGTCAGACCTTCATGCCCAGTTGTATGTATGTCTGGAATCTATGTAACCATGCTAGAATGAAGAACATAAGGAGAAGTTTTGTCACATGGTTTCATAGTTAGCTAATGAAGCAGCAACATTGACAGTTCTGTGGTAGAATTCTTGAGCAGTATTGTCTAGTGGATAAAGCAATGGCCTATGACTCAGGAGACCTGGACTCTAGTCCCAGCTCAGCCACTGGCCTGCTGAGTGACCCTGGGCAAGTAAATTCACCTCTGGGTCTCAATTTCCCCATCTGTACAATGGGAATACGATGGTTGCCTCCTTTGTAAATGGCTTTTGAGATCTACGAATGGCAAGTGCTATTTTAAAGAGTTATGTATTATTAGCAGTAATCTCATTGTGCCTCAGTTCCTGCAAAATGGGGGAAATATAATCCACTCTCTCTCACTCATCTATTTAGACTGTAAACTCTTTGGAGCACTGACTGCCTCTTAGTACATATTTGTACAGGTCCTAGTATAATGGTGTCCTGACCTCAGCTGGGGCCTTAAGATGCTACTGGAATACAAACAAACACCAAATGCAAAATTGCTGTCCTTTGGAAATATGGCAGATTGCCTAATATGCTTTCTTGATTTAGTTAAAATATTTACTATTTCTAACTGGAAATTATGTGACAAGGCATAAGGTTAAACATATTTTACTCATCTGGCACCCATAGATAGCCACTTAATTAAAAGATTATATGGTGTAATTGTGACTTTACTCAATGACAAGAACAACAGAAAGGAAATTTTGGACACAACTAGCAGGACTTTTGGTTTCTGTCACGTGTGTGTGTGTGTGTGTGTGTGTGTGTGTAAATGATAAAATTATATGAATGAATGTATTACAAATAATTGACAATTATAGGAGGTACACACATTTATTTCTGGCTTTATTATAACTGCATATAATCTGTGCAGGGAGGGGGACTAGATGATCTTTTGAGGTCCTTTCCAGCCGTACATTTCTATGATTCTGTAGCAAATATAAATTGAGATATTTGAATTTATATGTAATTAATCAGAAGTAATAATATTCATGAGCATTTTATTACAATGTTCTTTAATGGACAGAGATCATATTTAATATAACATAAT